CCATCATTTAATAGTTCTCTATTTTTGATAATTTTGGATGCGAAAGGATTAGAGAAGTATGAGAAAGTTGATGTTTGGGATTACATTATCAAAAATAAACTTGAGTATTCGTCTTTGCACAATAACCCGTGGATTTTGGGGGAGACTGTTCCCATGTTTTCGATAACACCGGCGAATTCAGAAATAAATTATTCTCATAATTAAGCATTGTTACATTTTAATACTACTATTCCGGAAACAATAAGAATAATGCTTTTGGTTAGTCCCGAAAGAGCTGCCCATTGACTATTACTAGTAAGTATTAAGAGTACTATTTATTTTATTTTTTTCAAATTTGATTTGACTTTTTCCGACTTAAGATTCTATTGTTACATTTCTTTCGTCAAATCAAGTATATATTGTATTGGGACGGAGAATGTAAACTCGAAAAGAGCAGCATTTTATTATAAATTTCATAAATAATGTTTGCTGACAAAAGAGAATCTATCAACACCTAAGAGAAACCATAAAATTGGTATTGATATGTCTGAAGTGTTGAAATAGCTAGCGTTTCACTAAATTCCTCATAAAAAAAATTCTACATATATACCTGGTACTGGCCAACTCTACAGTTTCTTGTAATTGTTGCTGTTTGTTATTAGTATAACTTTTTTATTCGATATCGCCCTTCCAAATACTTCCTCCATTCACTTTTACTTGACATTTATATTAAAAATAGATTTTTATTTTTACTTGCTATTTTATGCATATCAAGAGAAGACAAAAAAAAATTTCCTGTTATACTCACAGTATTTATTACTCATTTCAAATTATTTTCTCAAATCTAATAAAATATGCATAAATTGATATGTTTATCATGATAAATTATGCATTTTATTTATTATTTCTTAAGGGGCGTGAAAAGTCAAAACGTGCCAAATAAATGCGAACGGAGGGAGTACGTGTTCTTCAACAAAGGAGCACACGGCATGAAGAATCCATTCAAATGTTTAGCAGTTGTAATTAATATTAAAGTTTTCCACATATTCTATGCATGTATATCAGTGTAAGAATTTTAAAAGTTGAACCCATCCAATATATTTAAATCGGTATTTAAAACCTAAAATAAGCAAATTTGTATACCCATTATTCGTATGAAATAGCTAAGCTAGAATATACTTAAGTAAAAAGAAATTGTTGTGCGGCATTATGGGATTTGATGATGCAGAGGCATAAAAAAGAAATGTGGGAAGATGCTCCTAGTTGCATTTTGGAATAAGGATATCCTTTTTGTTTTTAGCAAAAAGCTAAGCATAATTAAAGGATATATGACAAGTTCGGAGTCGTAAGATTCCATAAGGATGTCTAATTTTATAGGTTTGTATGTATGTGTCAAATGTAATAATTAATCAAAAAAGTAGTTATCTTGTGAGAGGAAACAAAAGCACGAATTGCAGGATATGCTATGTTACTAGAGGAAGCAGGATTCTTGGATTTTCCACCTTTCTTTTAACCTTGCCTCCCCCCATCCCCCACTATACCTAGATTCCTTTACATAACCACTCTTCTCTTCTCTTTACTTAATTAGGTCACCACCAATAACTAGTATCAACATATATAGTATATACTACTATCAACTATATTATCAGGCGAATAACTCATTCATTTGACTATTATAATTCCACCAACTAACTCATGATTCCTCATTAAATACTTTAATTAATTTGCTCTCTTCGATTCCCCTCGCAGCCAAACCGTAACACCTAAGTATTGACCGACGTGGAATCAAAGTTTCACTTCAGTGAGTGTGAAATGCAATTGTAAAATATTTCACAATAATAATGTCGTTTCAGTCCCAAACATATATCGGCTACATGAATATTCATTTATCATGCATGTCCCTCCAATTGAATTCATTCCAATCCTATCTTATATAAAATAAAACAAAAGTGCCCAGAAGTCTCCATATTTTATAATATATAGTATTCTAACAAGACTATAAGACTCTAAAAAACATTGTATCTAAAGTAAACATACTAACATGCCACTGAAATTTAAAGGCAAGTTTTATAGAGTGGTGGTTAGATCGACCATGTTGTATGGAGCTGAATGTTGGCCAGTCAAGAATTCTTGTATCCAGAAGATGAAAGTAGTCGAAATGAGGATGTTGAGATGATGTGGGGGCACACTAGGCTGGATAAGGCTGGATAAGGTGGGCGTGGCTCCCATGGACGACAAGATGCGGAAAGCGAGGCGTGGATGGTTCGGGCGCTATGGATGGATCCTTTTAGATCTACGGGCTGGCCGGCCCCGAGAAGCCTAGATGCCCCAGTTAGGAGGTGTGACGGTTGGCTTTGACAGGTATGAGAAGAGGTAGAGGGCGACCTAAGAAGTAATGGGGCGAGGTGATCAGGCAGGACATGACGCGATTTGAGATTTCCGAGGACATGACCCTGGATAGGGAGGTGTGGATGTCGAGCATTAGGGTTGTAGGTTAGGGGGTACTTCAGCGTTTTTCCTCGTTGTTCCAGCTAGTCTGATAGTGTTTTGTCTAAGACTGCTAGCGATTTTTGTTCATCACACTATTTTTATTTTTAATTTTTAATTTTATTTTTTTCAATGTTATTATTGGCATAATTATTGTCATTCCACTTATTTGTTGTCTCTTATGATGCTGATATTATTTGTCTGGTTTCTGTTGTTATTATAGATTTTTTTGTCTCTGAGCCGAGGGTCTCCCGAAAATAACCTCTTTACCCCCTCCCCTGTATGGGTAAGGTTTACGTACACTCTACCCTCCCCAAATCCTATTAGTAGGATGATTACTGGGTTGATGTTGTTGTTTTGTTGACATTATGCTCTATATAGATCCTTGTTTAACATTATGCTCTATCTTCACAAGAAAGTTGTACAACTCATAATACTTTGTCACAATGAATACAAACATTGTATACATATATACTTCTTAGAAGTTATTTGAACAGAGGTTTAAGGTTCGAGTCCTGAAATGAGAAAAAGTTACTCAATGAAATTGTTAGCCTTTGTTTGAAATCAACGTGAAAACAAGCCCTAGCACAGATGAAATTCAGGGAAAATATAGAAGCGGTCGCTATACTTGGGAGGGCACGATATGACTGCGGAGATGCCCTAGCTTTTGAAGATTACTTAGCCAGTTCCGAAAGAACATAAGTGGAGAATTAATCCTCACTAGATTTGATCCAAAAAATTAATACATGGTAGAGTTACCTTAGGTGGTGAGTATTTGATGGGTAATGTTTAGGGAAGAATTTTTTATTGTAGATTATTTTTTTAATTTAAATAGTGCCAAATTCAAATATAATAGGACTAAATACAAAAGGCCTCAGTGAAGAGTACTAGTTTAGGTACTAATATCAATTCTGGTAAATGCAAATGAAAGAGGAAGAATTTTAGGATGGTCATTTTTAAAGAGTGATATATATAAAATCTTGTATTCAAGACCCTACGAGATGAATAAAAGTACTCCATATTCTTCCATAAACAAAAGGTCCCACATAAGAGATATACAAAGGGTAATGGAAAAACCTAGCAGACGCCCTAGATAGTAGCTAGGCCAGGTTTAATATTTGAATATCTATCGATGATGCTCCTCTAAAAAGACATTATTATTGATGGGAACCTAAATTATCTAAAGTGTTAGGAAAATCCCAGGCCAGAAAAGCACACAACACCAGCACAAGCATATACTCACTATATCAGACAGAAACAGAAGGAAGAAAAGATGGATGGATGGAAGTAGTTGACGTAAGTTGCATAATTGCCTCTCATGCGTGCACCATCTTATCTATCTATCTATTCCATATGTATTGTATTGTATTATATGAATACATCCATCACTACCACAGGCTCCTAGAAAATGCGCCATACAACTCACACAACACACAATTCTTGCAAGTAAAGAGAGAAAGAATCGCTTATTCTTGTAAAAATATTGTACAGTGAGTAGGTCTCTCTTGCGTGAGTTAGCGTCAATACATCAACTTGTAGTAATAACCATCTTATCAACCTGTCAAGTATCACCTACTACTTCCCTTTTCCCTATAATATTAAATCTCTTCCTTCACTCTTTTGGTACTAATCTTGCGTCATTCTTTTACTCTACTTGTTTATATATGTATATATTTTCTCCCTCTGCTTATTCAGCTAAAAACCATAATCATGTATACTTTACGTCAAATCACCACTGATTCATTCATTAATTACTCTCTCAGAATCTGTGCTTATGACTGAGTTCTGATGATGAATGAAGGCATGGCTGCAAATTCATTAAACGAAAATATCACAATAAGATGGTGTGGACGAAGTTATGGTAGAGAAAAAAAAAGGAGTGGTGGTCCTTGGGAAAAAACACTAGACACGAGAGAGATCCCTTTGGTGGGGTGGCCCTAATAGGTGGGGGGCAAAGTGGGAAACAAGAATAAACCCTCTTTGAGAACTTTGATGGTTTTGTTGAGGGGACAAAAGGCAGAAATTAGGGCAATAAATGGTTTGATATCAAAGACAGCCAACACTACTTGTGTATGTATACGGGGTTATTTAACAATTCTCATGCAGCCATGTCCAAGAATCTCCTACTTCTTCTTCTACCATGAAAGCACTCAACAAGAAACAGAAATAAAAACAAAAATAAGAAATTTTCGGAAAAAAAGAAGAAGAAGAAGAAATGGGGTATATAGACATTTCTTGTTGGCCATGTCTTTTTCCAAATATGAGCACTTTCCATTAATACTAGAAATCTTTTGTAAAGTACAATAAAAAAAAGCAACAAGATGAAGACTTTGATAAGGAATAACCAATAAAGTAAACAAATATGCTTGCTGGTACTAAATGAAAAAGTTAAGCATGATTAGCATTAAAGAGAAGATATATATAATAAACCATCCACCTTAATACAAAATGACAAACAGACCTAAAGAACAATTTGGTGGTTAATTAACACCTTTAATGGGAATATATCATTTCCCACTCGAAGTGCCACATACCTAACAATCGTTGGCCTCTAATTAAATAGACTGATAAAATTTGGTAACAGAATCTTTCAGTAACAAAAAAAAATAATACAAATAAAGATTAAGTTCAGGATCTGCATTATACAAAGACTTAGTTAATTATATCTCATTATCAACCTATAACTACTACGTAAGTAGACCTATGTTAAAATTAAAACATTCATCAGCCCAATAACCTTAAACCCAAACAAGATATATATATAAAAAAAAAAAAAAAAAGAACCTGAGATTGAAGACCTCTTTGTCCTTCACCATGCAGATAGATAAAAATCTTGTTTTTTAGGGTTTTAAATTTAACGCCAAGAAGATATGGAAAAAAGGGGTTGATTTTGCCAACCCAAGAAGAAAGAATTACTCGTACTCGAAACACTAAGCTGGTATCCTTCAGATGGGTAATGAAGTCTCAAGAGAAGTTTAGCTTGTGAGAGTGCAAAAGGGCTTAAAGCAACATTGCTAAATCCACAGCTCCTCAACATTACTTCCCATGATCTGAATCTCTCGTGTCTTTCTCTTCTCTTATCTCCTTCTGCTGCTACTATATCAATTATTTCTCTCCCGAACCAAACTTGTTCCACTGTCATCCTCTCTCTACTGCTCGGTGGCAAAGTTGCTTCCAATGAATCAAACACAGCTGCATAATAATCCAAAGCCTCCACAAATCTTTGCAAAAAAAGTGGGTGATTATGATTTGCTTCTCTCTCGGCCAGCGTTACAACTTTAGGGTTCATGGATTTAATCCTATGCAAAAAAATCCTTAACTTTTCGCGGTCTTTCAAGAGCCTGTGAAGATAAAATACACAGTTGATAGCTAATGTCTCATCAGGGAGAAGAACAATAGAAGAAATTATTGAAGGGTCATGATCATTGTCATTATTATTGGTAATCAAAAGAGGGTGAAACTGAAATCTAAGGCCTAAAGAGTGAGCAAATTTAGCTAAACGATCTCCGGTTCTACGAAGGGTATCAAGGTCATTTCCAGTACCGGTAATCCGAAGAGTTGGAGGAGGGTAACGATCAGCTAGTGCTTGCATTAACGGTGGCCATTGAACACCGTGATTAATATCAAAATCAACGATGTGGATCGCTTGTTGGTTATCGTTAATAGCTTCCAAAATCGCTTGATTAGCAGTTAGCTGACTAAATCTAATGAAAGGAGTCACTTGGTTTAGGGAAAGATAGGATGACTGAAGTAGAGCTGAATCATTTGAACTTTCAACAACATTAGATGGTGTCAAGAAATTAGTGGCTGAAGAGATATAACGGTTGAGGCGAAGAGAAAGTGCGCGAGTGAACTGATGGACTAATCTTTCAGTTGAATCACCAAAAGGGGAAGAGTTAGTTGATAAAATGGTGAGGAGTCTGTTTGCGGCCGAGAAATCGGACCGCGAGATTAACTCCGCGCAGCTAATGAGTAGTTGCCGGATTTGGATTGCAGGGGAAGTGGAACTGAATCTCCGCCGTTGATCATCAGTTTCTTCATCATGAGATTGAGATGATGAACCAAAGGATCCTAACATATCACCGAAATAAAACTATTTCAGGTGAAAACCCTAGAAAGAGAAAGAAGAGAGAATATATGCGTCTAATAAAAAGAGAAAGGAGAGAGAGAGGAAAAAGGGGTCTCTCTAGGGGAAAGGACAGAGGGGGTTTTCAATGATGGAGGAGGGGAAATTTATGGTTTTGGCATCTGAAATTAATATTTAGTACTATATGATTTCACATTTTCTTGGCTATAGTAGTGGTACTAATCTGTGACTCAATATTAAGGAAGAAGAACCTCATTTCCCAGTTTTGTGCTTTTGCCAGAATTAATACCAAGTACAAATAAGGAAATGGCCTACACAACAAATGATAATCTGATATATTTGATAAACCATAGCTCTGTAGCAGAGAATAAATAATACTACTGTAACTAATTAAGTACTACGTACTAAATAGGTTCTATTTCAAGAATGTGCATATAAACTTACATCCTAAGTTGCTTTTGTGCATGTACTTGAGATGCCAAATATGAGAATTGAATTGATGATGACTTTTGATTATGATAGAATCCATCTTGACCACAATATGTGTGGGTTGTCCGTGGGGAACTTCACATTAGTCGGCCGACATATACTCGTAAATGTGTTTCTTTGTGTCTTAATTTTTTTTTAAATAATAAAAAATCTTAAGACAACTAATGAACAATTTTTTTTTAATTAAGGCACTTTCTCCAAATATAGCACTAGATCAACATCTTGGTCTTGTAGATTCCAACTGCGACAATAGGAATTCTTTTATCAAAACGTCTTTGAAAACCATTTTAATTTTCAAAAGTTAATGATATGATTCCGCAGGTGATGATAATATGATTGTTTATTAAGCCAACCATTTCTATCAAACGCTCTTCCAAAAGGGTGTTGATCAAAATAAATTCGAACACTGATGCATAAAGTAGGTCATAACTGTCACACCCCTTTTCTACCCCAAAAATATATATGTTATGAATAGTGGGTTAAAGAGTTTTTCAATTAAAGTGACAAATTTGAATAAGGATTATTTTGTTTACAGATTCGCCCGCTTGGAATTGATTTTTGCATGTTCCAAGTCACTTTTTATTTGAATCCCTAGTCAAAGGAAGATTTGACTCTATTATTATCGGTCTGCAAAAATAAAGTCCGAATAAAGATTTTTGTTGATCGGGGAGAAGGTGTAAAGCATTCTCCGAGTCCGTGGTTCTAGCACAGTTGCTTTATTAACTTAAATTTGGCATGAATTAATTATGGATAAATTGTGCTTTATTCGGTTTTCATGTTTTGCCTATGTCCACTTTTACTGTTGATGACTTAATTAATCTCAAACTAGGACGAATATCCCCAACCCTAGCTTACGCTAACCAAGATGAATATCTCCGACCTTAGTTCGTGCGCCGCACCTAAAATTGGAGCCTACTCAAAGTTAATAAATAACAAGCTTATTTGAAAGAATTGGAATATGACGTGTCCTCGCGACCTGGCCATTTTATTTATGTATTTATTCCAAAATGAGTCGTCCCGACATCGGTTAAGACGAAATTAATTATTTTTGTTAAAACAAATTACTTTTGAGTTAGTCATGATCATTTGTGATTAAGTAATTGAGTTATTTTTATAAATAAATAAAACATCTGATCTTATTGAGTTTATTTAGTGAACTAAATCTAATTTAATTTATTTGGTGGATTAATAAAAAAAGTGACGTAATACTTAAGAAAAAAAATCTTTTGCTTCATTTTGGAGAATTAACTAGACTGTTACAATTTTTCTAAAACAAAGAATTAACTAATTTTAAGGACTATGTTATGGAATTAATTAAAGAAGAAAAATATTTTTTTTTCTTTTTGTGCATTGATTGTTCACTTTTTTTTTTTTTTTTTTTTTTTTTTTTTTTTTTTTTTTTACATATGGGTAGTGTATGATTAGTTGGATTGACTTTGCAATTATCTGTTACTAAATTAAAAGTTGAGACTATTGTAAGAAGATTACCTTAACAAATTTATATTGTTTAAAACTAAAATAAATGTGGACTTGTGGTAATATTAAAAGGTAGCAGCCTATTTTACTGATTTTTACATAACTTTGACACATTTCTTTTATTTCCAATCTTATCACGAAACCAACTAAGCTCAAACCAATCTTTTACTACTTATGCATAGCAACAACACGTCTCAACTACTACTTCTAATTCAAATGCAAAATCAAAGTACCAACTTGATGTTTAGTGTGAGCATTCATAAGACCAAAGAAAATAACAAACTACAATCTGGTACAAGTCTTCTTCCAAAGTCCAAACTACACACCGGAACTAATTTACAACCAAAACAACATATTAGCTAACAAAGAAACTAACTATTTTAATAACAACTAGTAGCTAGTTGCTCCAGAAATTAACTAATTGATGTTTTAAGCGTCAATACCACACTAGAGGGGTGATTTGTGTGGCACCCAATTTTCGCTTAACTACTCTATAGAAGAACTTGGTTTTCTAGGTGTTCCAACTACTACTAATTGCGGAATAATAAATACAGAAAATAAAGAACACGGAGATTTTTACGTGGAAAACACCTGGCTCAAAAGGTGAAAAAACCATGACCTACAACTCAGTAGGATTTTCCCAAACTTCCACTAAAATCACTGAGCCAAAATAGCTTTTACAAAAACTCTTTATAAACCTAAGGATTAACTCTAATCCCGTTGTGGCACACAACCTCAACTGTTGCGACAACTTCAAGTTAGCTATAACTTGAACACTCTAGGTATCTAATACAATTGCTTCTATGAAAGCTGAAAGGTATAATTTTAAACCACCTACTACAATTGAACTAGAATAAAAGATAGACACGATGGAACTGGTTCTTCTATCTCGTTCAAGTAGCTTCAGGAGTGCACACTCAAATCACACATAAATTGCTTGCAAAATCGCCTTGCTCTTTTGCTCTCAATTTAGTTTAACTTTTGCGTATGTGTATTTCCTGTAAAAGAGAACAAACTGACATTTAATAGGTTAGTAATCAGAGTTTGATTGTGACTCAATTGCTGCTCTTCTATCGTGGAAGAGTTCATGATGATCTCAAACTCTAACACTATCTTCATCCTTTTCGATCAGATCAAGAGATATTGTTGCTTAATCAGTAAGACTTATCTCTTTCACGTGCATCTCACATGTATAGGTTGATCATGACTGTGCTTCACAAGATGGACCTGGTCCATGTCTGAGTTCTTTTGTCAATCTTCAAAACTTCACCTGTTCTTGGGCCAACAAATATCCCTTTTTGATGATGACAAACTCTGTGCTTTTTACTTATTTGGGACCTGTAAGAACTCAGCTTAACCATCAATACTAAACTTAGAAAATTCACTTAACATCAAGGACCAGGTTAATTAGGTTATAAATATTACTTATTTCAGAATGTGTGTAAAGCACAACTCTCTTCTCCCTTTTGGCATCATCGAAATGTTACATACAAAGTGTGATTCCCAGATTTTAATAAGTACCCATGGCCACTGCGGCAACTGCAAATGTAATCATGGAGTAATCATCAGTAATCAAGAAAATATATTTAAAATATCAAGGACAAATTAACATTAAACAAGAGCAAAATAGTAGTTATCATTGACAGAGATATGTTGCCACCAACAATCCACAAAAAGAAAGAAAAACATCCAAATCATGAGCAAAAATAAAAGATAGAAAAATCCCTAATCTGGGTCACTGAGGTACTAAACAAGTTCAGGAGACAAAAGCTAGGAGTCCTAAGGCTTGGAAGAACTATATGGTTGGGTTTGGGCTTGGAGAAGGTTCAGCATGTTATGAAGAATTCCATCATTTTTCTCCTTTTCTTTGTCAAGCTCAGTTCTGAGACCATCCCTCTCAAATTTCACTTCAATCACACGAGCCAAAAGCCTAGCTATTTCAGCATCCTTGGCTACATATTCCTGAACCAGAGTCCTGACTTTGCTGTTGATGGGTGTCTTCTAGGATGTACCAGGTTCATTTGGGATGTCATTGACTGCATAGTCACAAGCAAGAAGAGTATTGATGCCAAAGTGATCCTTTCTCGAGATCATTTCCCATTTCTTTAGAGGCACATTGAGACTATCCAGAACTGTGGTTAGAATAAAGCCATAAAGAGTAGCATGAGCCTTGGAGCCATTTATAACCCTGTCGAGCAGCTTGATAATGAAGGCAGACAATTGATTTGCTTTCCTCTCTCCAGGCACTCTATAAGAACTAGATCCATGTAATTGGCAATGTGACTTCTCTCCTGTCTGGGCAATAAACACTTGTTGACAAATTCAAACAAGTCCTTGTGCTCAGGCCTCATTTCACTTTTCTGCACAGCCCTGGCTTCATTCACATCTTCAGAATCACAAAACCTCCTGGTAATTACAAGAGCAGTAGGGAGGGAGTCCAGGCAGGGCCACCTTTGCCTTGTATAGTCATCAAACCCTTCAGAGGGTATGTCCAGGATCTCTCCCAGTTTCTTTGCATCAAACTGCACTTGAACTCCTTTCACCAGGTTACTAACATTGCCATCCTTAACCATGACATTTGCCATTAATTCAATTAGCTCATTTATGGCTAGCCTACTATCCATCTAAAGGACCACGTCCTTCCCTCCCTAAGCAGCTAAAGCATCTATCAATCTCATCATTCCTGGTTCCACCAGGTCTTTCAGCAGTCTACCCTTTAAAATCTTTATTTTGCCAAACATGGCAAGCTTATCATGTTCCTTCTCAGAATCATTTTATTCTTCTTCTCCACTCCAGTTATCATCTTCAGAAATTTTTGATTGTTCGTTTTTCACTGCAGATCTTGTCCTCTTGGCTAGTGTAGGTTCAACAGCCTCAGACACAGAGGAAGACTTCTTGGAGGAAGTCTTGGGCTTTTTGGTCTTGGGAGTAGGAACCTCCACTAATGTACCCCTTTCGTGATGGACCAGTTCCATCTCCTCTTCCTCAACAACCTCTGAGGATTCTGCAATCTTTCCCTTTCCTTTATCCATTTTCTTTTTCTTACTTTCAGCTAAAGCCCTTTGTAGATCAACTTTACTCTGTTTCACCCTGTTTCTTGTGGCTCTACCCTTTGGCAATGAAGATGCAGTGGGTGTTGGGGATGAAGCCTTTCTTTTCTTGGAAGGCTTAGCAATATTGGGGGCTTTTGTTGTGGGAGTTCTGCGTTTCTTTGGGTCATAGCTTGCCCCAACCTTTTTCAGCAGGTCTGCTAGGGTATCTTCAGTAGATGAAATAGGTTCATCTCTCTGTGTGCTCAGATGAACCAACCCCTCAGCAGCTTCCCCAGAACCACTTCCCCCTAACTTCATGCCACTCTCTTCTACTCTTTCTTGTGCAACCCCACAGATAGCAGGCACTACTCCTTTCCCATTTCCCCTTTCTTCACCACATGCACCCTCTCTCTCTTTTTCTTTTTCAGAATTCTTTTTACCTCCACTACTTCGTGACCCTGGTAATTCTACATCCTTAACAAACCCAACCAGAACA